TCAAAATTGCAAGCTTTTAAAATATTTATTTAAAAAAATTTTAATTGTTGATGGACCTTTATTTTAATTGTTTATATGCAGTGCTGAGAATTGAACCCAGTGCCTGACTGTGCTAGGCAAGTGCTCTACCACTGAGCCACGATTCCATCTTTTTAAATATTTAAATACAATAGAAAGTTCCTGTAAACCGGGTATGGTGGCATATGACTGTAATCCCTGCTACTCAGGAGGCTGAGGCAGGAAGATGGCAACCTGGGCAAGTTAGCAAGACCCTGTCTCCATTTGATCTTAGCCAAAAGGCAGAGTAGTGAATTTTTTTTTTTTTTTTTTTTAGTGCTGAGGATCAAACCCAGGGCCTTGTACATGCTACTCAAATGCTGTACCACAAGATATAGCTCCAGCCCCAAGACCCTGTCTCACAATAAAATAAAAAGAGTCAGGGATGTAGCTCAGTGACAGGACACTTGCCTGGAATGCAGGAGACCCATGGGTTCAATCCCCAGTACCCATTACTCAGTTTTCCAACATCTTATGTAACTAATGTGTATTTGTCAAAACTATAAAACTGACAATGGTCTAGTACTATTACCTAAACATGGACTTTTTTTTTGGATTTGACAATTCTTGTTTTATTAATTCATATTCTGTAACTATAACAAAATACCTGAAGTTGTGTAATTTATAAAGAAAAGACAATTATTGTGCTCACAGTTTTGTTAGCTGAAAAATCCAAAGGGTATGGTGCTGAATCTGACAAGGACTTGCTGGCTACATCACCTCATGGTGACAGCATCATGGCAGGAGCACATGGGTGAGGGAGAAATCACATGGAAAGAAAGGGAACTAGATGGGGATAGGGTCAGTCTCAGTCTTTTATAAAAACCCTCTCATAAGAACGACAGAATTCCTTCAGAGGGCAGTACCCTCAATAACCTAATTATTTCCCACTGGACCCAGTTTTTAAAGGTCCTATCCACCATCTCTTATATCACCACTCCGGGGACCAAGGTCCCAACATACGAACCCTTAAGGGACAAAGCACATTCCAATATAGCAATTATCTTTTAATATGCTAGGAATTCTCTCTCCAGCAGCTCTGGCTAAAGAACTTGTGACTTGAATAAGATGATACAGCTAGTGACAAAATTCAAATTGCAATCCAGACCTTTCTCTGAAACTTGTGTTCTTTGTGTATAATGATGTCTCTTTAAAGGAGGAAAAAAAATCAGTGTGTTAGTCCAGGTCCTCACAGAAGTAGCCAACAAGACATGATTAAACCAGGATTAACCGTGTAAGGATTTTATTAGAGAAAGTGCCTGAAGTAGGGAGGGAGATAGGAGAGGGAGAGAATTGTGGGAGTCCAGTGCAAGTTTGACCCTGAGCGCATGGAAGAGAGGGATTTAGGTGGCAGCATCCTAGCCTGCCATGTCAACAAGGGAGTCTCATCTGAGCTGAGGAGTCTGGTCTCAGTAAAATGCAGAGCAGTGGCTGGGGCCCTCAGCCAGGGAAGGGTCTGGGCAGTAGTAGTTTAACAAGGTGTAGTGTCATGGCCACCACAGTCAGTTAATGCAGGACTTTTTGTAGTTTCTTTTCTTTTCTTTTTGTAGTTTGGAAGAGAGGGCCCAATCAAAAGGATAAGAGCCAAGGAGGTGAGCAAGTGAAGAATCTTTCCCTTACCAGATTCTCTGATTCCCTAGAGGAATCCAGAGTTCAGGATTCCCAGTTTATTGCCCAGTGTGATGCTTAATTTGATGTGTCAATTTGACCATAGGGTGCCAAGGCATTTGGTCAAACGCTATTATGGGTGTGTCCATGAGTGTGTTTTTAGATGAGGTTATTGTTTACATCCGTAGACTAGTTAAATCAAATTGCCCTCCATTACATGAATGGGCCTCATCCAATCAATTGAAGGCCTGAGTAGAACAAAAAGGCTTTTTTCCCCTGCCTTCAGACTTAAACTGGCTCTTCCTGGGTCTTGACTTTGACAGCTTTTAGAATGGCACATGCCACTGATGCTTCTGATTCTCAGGCTTTCCAATTTGGATTGGAATAAAACCCTCAGCCTTCCTGGGCTTTTAGCTTACTGACTCACCTTTCAGATCTTGGCATTATCCAGCTTCCATAATGTCATGAGCCACTTCTTTATGATAAACTTTAATCTCAATCTTTCAATTCACACACACACACACACACACACACACACACACACACACACACACACACACACACACACACACACACACACACACACACACACACACAATCTCCCATTGCTTCTATTCTCTACAGAACCCTAACACATCTAGTTTACTCAATGTCAAGGATGGCTAGTGCTTCAGTATCTAATATGGCTCCTTTTTCTCTTTTGCCATCAAACTCCACTGCACATCTGAACCATACGTTGGACTAAGAATTGTGCCAAAATAGCACAGGGGAAATAAAAAGTCCCAAACAAGCAGTTAAGCCAGTGGGCCAAGCCTCCATCATACTTCTGGGTGGGTAGGAGATCTGTTACTTCAACAGCTGTGACCTTTGGTATTAGGGCCATGGAAATGGCATCAGTGAAACCCTCCAGCTGACAGCTGGCTCTCCAGTGAAAGCAACAAACCAAATACTCAAGAATAGAGACCCACCATCTTGTATGATTTGAGGGATTCTGTCACCCCAAGCTGCCTGGATAACCTTCCTAAAGATTCTTTAATCTCAATAAAGCTTGGAACTGCCAGGCACAATCCACATCTATAATCCCAGTGACTTGAGAGGCTGAGGCAGGGGGGTTGTGAGTTCAAAGCCAGCCTCAAGAACTTAGCAGACTCTGTCTCAAAATAAAAATAAAAAGGGTGTGGATGTGGCTTAGTGGTTAAGTGCCCCTGGGTTCAATTCCCGGTACAAAAAAAAGTTGGAACTATCGCTATTCCAGACACAATGCTGTTGTTGATTTCTAGTTTAATTTCATCAAGAGCCCACTCTGTTTTATGGCCAAGTTTGTAACCTATCTTGGTGAATGTTCCATGTGAACTTGGGAAGAATGTGTATCTATTTTTGGATGAAGTATTCTAAAAATGTCAACTAGATTCAGTGGATTGTTGGTCTTGGTCACTACAGCTATATCCTTACTAAATATTTGTCTGCTGGATCTGTCAATTACTGATAAGAGGGGTGTTTTAGTTTCTAACTGTAATAATGGACTTGTCTATTTCTCTTGTAACTCTATACATTTTTGCCTTATATATCTTGATGCTCTCTTGTTGAGTACATACACATTAAGGATTTGAGAATGTCTTCTTAGAAGTGACCACACTATCATTACATAATACCCCTCTCTCCCGATAATTTTTTTCCTCCAAAGTCTGCTTTGTCTGATATTAATATCACTACTCCATCTTTCTTTTGATAATTGTTAGCATAGCATATCATTCTCCCTTTTATTTATTCATTTTTGTGGTACTGGAGATTAAATACAGGGCTTTGTGCATGCTGGATAAGCACTGTACCACCAAGCTACATCCCAGTCCCTCCATCCCTTTATTTTAAATCTATTTGTTTAATTATATTTAGGGTATATCTCTTGTAAACAACATATTGTTGAGTCCTTTTATTTTTTAATCTGATAGTCTTTGTCTTTTAATTGATGTATTCAGGGCCATTTACCTTTAAACTGATTGTTGATAGATTACCGTTAAACTGTTGATAATGTCTACAATGTGTTTTCTGTTCACCACATTTGTCTGTTTGCTTTTCTTCCCCTCCTTTTCTGTCTTCTCTGGTTTAATTAAGAATTTGATTGCATTTTCTTACCTTTATTATCATGTCAGTTACACTTCTTTTAAAATATTTTATCTCATTACCCTAGAGATGTAATATAGACTTACAATGAATCTAAACCCATTTTAAAAATTACACTCTACCACTTCAAGGGCAGGGTAGGTACCTTACAACCGAGTGTTCCCAATGCCTCTCTCCCCATTCTTATAACATCTGTTGTTCATCTTATGCTTGTACTATAGTCCCCCAATACACTGTTTCTCTTATTACTTTAAACAGATAATTCCTATTAGATCAATTAAGAATAAGAAATACAAACTGGGCATGGTGGTGCACACCTGTAATCCCAGTGGCTCAGGAGGTAGAGACAGGAGGATTTCGAGTTCAAAGCCAGTCTCAGCAATTTATCAAGGCCCTAAGCAATTCAGTGAGACCCTGTCTCTTAATAAAATATATTTTTAAAAGGCTGGGAATGTGGCTCAAATGTTAAGTGCCCCTGGTTCAATCCCCAGTACCAAAAAATAAATAATACGGGCTGGGGATGTGGCTCAAGTGGTAGCGCGCTCGCCTGGCATGCATGAGGCCCGGGTTTGATCCTCAGCACCACATACCAACAAAGATGTTGTGTCCGCCGAGAACTAAAAAATAAATATTAAAAAATTCTCTCTCTCTCTCTCCTCTCTCACTCTCTCTTTTAAAAAAAATTTAAAAAATAATAAATAAATAAGAAGAAATATGTGTTATCTTAATTTATTCCTTTTCTGACATGCTTCCTTTTGAGTAGATCTGAGTTTCTGACCTATGATATTTTTCTTCTCATTAAAGAACTCCTTAGGTTTCTTGCAGTGCAACTCTGCTAGCAATAAACCTCTTTTGTTTGCTTAAGTTTTTTCTTTTTCATGTTTTATTGAGATAAAATTTGTATAACAAGCTGGGCTTAGTGGCACATGCCTGTAATCCTAGCAGCTCAGGATGCTGAGGCAGGAGGATTGGGAGTTCAAAGCCAGCCTCAGCAGCTTAGTGAGACCCTAAACAATTTAGCAAGACTGTCTCAAAATTTTAAAAATATAAAAAGGGATGTGGGTATGGCTCAGTGGTTAAGCACCTCTGGTTCAATCAACGGTACCTAAAATTTTTTTAATTGTATAAATTTCACCATTTAAGCCTTTTTAAAGTGTATGGCTTATTGACCTTACTACATATGCTCTTAAAAGATGCTTTGGCTGGATATAGAATTCTAGGTTGATGAGGTTTTATTCTTTCAACCCTTAAAACATTTCACTCCCAGGCCTGGAGGTGTCACTGGTAGAGCATTTGCCTGGCATGTGTGAAGCCCTGGGCTCCATCCCAGTACAAGAGGAAAAAAATATATTTTTCATTTTCCTTTCTTCTTGTTTGTATTGGATCTGACAAGTAGGCTGTAATTCTTACCCATTTTCTCCATACATAAGCTGGAGGCATTTTCTAAGGCTTCTTTCAATATTTTTTGGTTTTGATCTTAGCTTTGACTAGCTGTGTCTAGGTGTCATTTTTCATTTGTTTGTTTTATTCTGTGTTTTGTTTTGTGTATTTATCCTAGTTGGTGTTCTCTACGCTTCTTAGACTGTAATTCAGTGTCTCATTAAATTAATTGTCTCATGAGACAATTTATGATTACTTGAACAGTTCCTTCTCCTCTGGTGTTCCAGTTGTGCCATTCTTTTGAAATTCTTCCACAATTCTCATATGTTCTGTTCCCTCTCTTTCCATTCTTTTTCCTCTTTGCATTTCAGTTTTGATATTGCTATTACCAGATCTTCAAGATCACTGATTCTTTTCTTAGTGTGTCCCGTCTACTGATGAGCCCATCGCAGGCTAGCGTCCTTGACATATTAGTCACAGTTATTTAAAATTTCCTGATAATTACAAAATGTGTATCCTCTATGGATTTAGTTCTGAAGTATACTTTGTCTCTTTAGTCTGTTTTTTTCCTTGCCTCTTAGGATGCCTTGTTACATGATTCACATGTAATTCTTGGGTAAAGAACTGACTTTGACCTCTAGTGTGAGGTTCAATGTTAATCTGTTTAGGAGTTGGATGAAGATTAATGTCTGTCTACTGTAACTGCCAGAAGTTTTTAATTCCTCTAATGTCCTTGGTTTTGTTTCTGTTGTCTTTGGGTTTCCCTCAGAACTTCTTCAATCCAGTCTGTCTTTGAAGCTCCTTCAGAGGCTATCCACCACTATTCCACTGCAGATTTGTCCTAACCCTTGGTGAGACAAGCTCTGATAGATTTTTATCTTCTGGGGGGAGGGGGTCCTAGAGGACAGGCTTCTGGTATGGAGACTGTGCTGGGCTCACTTTCTTATTTTTAAGATAAAACCTGCTATGTTGTCCAGGCTGACCCTGAAGTCCTAGACTCAAGTGATCCCTGACCTCAGCCTTCCAAGTAGCTGGGACTACAGGCACACCCCACCCCATCCAGGTTAGGGCATGTTTTTAAGTTTAATTTTCCCTTCCCTGAGACAAGAAGGAATTTTTCTTGGCTCTTCACCATGAGCCCACACTTAGCCTCCACCCATTTGTCAAAGTTACTGTTTAAGTATTACTACTGGTTTGTGGCTCCAGAAACTTCTCTAGATAAGCTGCTTGTGGCTGAGCGAATTTGCTTGTCTCTCTAAATTTCAGGGTAGCAGTTTGCCCTGTGAACTCATTTCTTGGATGGGTCCAAAATAAGTGATCATTTTTCAGTCTGTTGAGCTGTTTTCTTGTTGTAATCATGGAAAAGATGACTTCCAAGTTCTGTACCTGTTGATGCTGGAACCAGAAATGGCTTTTCCCTTTGTTATTGTTGCTTTAAAAAAAATGCTCCCAAGGAATGAGGGCCGAGATGGCAAAAAGGCTGTGTGCATGTATCCATTTGGCTAAACAAACTGCAGGGGAGTGGACCCTCTTCGAAGGAAGACCCAGTAGTTCAGCTGATCCTGGCCAGCCAACAGCTGAGGAACCAACAGCTCTACAGACTCTGGGGGCTGAGAAGACCTCCCCCACCACCCCCTGCTTCACTGCCTCCTTCTGGCTTCATCATGTCTCATTTTGGCCAGGCTCGTTTCTTAGACCCCATCCTACAGTTCACACTAGGTTCTGTCACGGAAGGATCTTTCTACAACATGGATCTAACCCTTGTCCTCAAACTCTCCCATTTGAAAACCCTGAGCCCCTTGAATTAAGTATAAGTTGCCTAATGTGGTGTTCACAGATCCTCAGGATTCACCCTAACTTTCCCTCTGCTGCCCACCTCCCCAACTCCTGCACAGTACTGGGGTGCCAGGAACACACTAAACTCTTTGCAAGTTCCTAAACCTAACAAGCTCTCTCCAGCCTCTGCCTTCCATATGCAAATTCCTCTGGAAATCTTTCCTGTTCTGACTGGCTCTTATCCACCAGCAAGCCTTCCCTGAGTAGTCTGTACAACCCTCAGTCATGGTGCCACCTTTGGGTCCCACTGAAGTGCCATCAGGACTCTTCAGCTCTGAGGGCCCTTCCCATCAATAAAATCCACATCTTCCTTAAGGTAGAGGAGTCATGGGGCAGATACTCTGAATCTCCCTGTGGTCTGTTTTCTTCCCAGAGGTGAAGCCCTGCATGTTGGACCTCTCAGGCTGAGGAGGGTCTGCAGGGGAAGAAACCCCTGTGCATGGGCTCCTGCTGTGCAGGGAAAAGGGTGAAATCTCTTTCTGGAGGCAGATTCTAGAGATGTCCACAAGTTCACCACTTATCAGCTCTGTGGCCCTAGGCAAGGTACTTTTCTGTCCTTATCATCTTTTTTTTTTTTTTTGTCCTTATCATCTATAAAACAGGTTAATAAATAGGACCTAGCTTAGAGGCCTCAGTGAAATAATGCAATGTATTTTGTATGTGATGAATGTTCAAAAAGTAATAGTATTATTATAATATCCATGTAGGCCAACTATGTCCTACTGCATTGCACCCACACCCCAGCCAGCAAGGCAGGGTCACTAGCTGATTCCACTCCAGAAAACAGGCCAACAAGGTGCTGAGGAAGACAGAGCCATCTCTCCTTGGTTCACTATAACTCGGCCCTCTCCCCATCTGGAGAGTGCTGGAGGCCTAGGATGGGAAGTGAGGGAAGGCTGCAGATTTGGGCCACATCAGACCTGGCCTGGGGGGCTAATGGCAGCAGCCACGGTGGGAGTGTAGAGGTACAGGATTGGAAGTGTGTACTTTTTTTTTTGGTACCAAGGATTGAACCCAGGGACATTTAACCACTGAGCCACATCCTCAGCCCTTTTTAAATATTTTATTTAGAGACAGTGTCTTGCTAAGTTGCTAGGGCCTCACTAAGTTGCTAAGGCTTTTGAACTTGTGATCCTCCTGCCTCAGCCTCCCAAGCCACTGGGATTACAGGTGTGTGCCACCACACCTGCTGGAGATGTGTGATGTTGACTGATCCCACAAGGTGAAGGCATCTTTTTGTCCTTTCTGCTCATTCCACTCCTCCAATGCAAGTGGAAAGGAAGGCCTCCCCAAATTGAGAGCTGGGGGCTTTGATATCACATTCATTCCCACTAATTTCATGAGCCATGTGTCACTGCCTATGTTATATACAAGTCCAAGATGAGGGATGCTGGGACACTGGGGCACACAGCACCTCATCCCTAACTTCGTGCTTGCCCTGGAGTCCAGGCCTGTTTGCTCAATACAGTAGGTGAGGTCGAATCACTGGACAATATCAGTCTAGCATCACAGCTTTGAGCTAGGTCTCAGAACCTCAAGCTCTACTCCAACCATCTCTGCTTAAATCTCTCAACTTACATACAGGTTGTATGGTACGTAAGCCATACAACTGCACCCAACACCCCTGACATCATCCTCAGAGGAGGAGTCTTTTTTGATCAGCACTGTTGATTCTACCTTTTTCAACTCTGGGAGCTCAATCTGACATGTCCCAATGTTACACAAACCAATGTTAACGGTTCCAAGTCTCCTCTCATTTGTGCCCCAAATTTTTGGTGGTCAAATGTTTGGAATGAACAATTTACCTTGCAAGGCCCTTCATACCCCCCTTGTGGCACCAGGCTTCCCTCCAAATGCTTTTTCCCAGGTCACTCCCCAATTCCAGTCCCCAATTCCACATCTCCCTACTCCTATCCTCACCTCTCCTTGTCAATGATCCTTGGAGACTGCTGGAAATTTCCCTTCATGCTATGAACACTGCAGGGATTATTCCACTCCCCACCTTCTTCCTCCCAACTCAGAATCATGATTCTCCCTCCTTCAAGCCTCAACCTGAGACATCACTCCCTGATCCTGTCGACCTTAAGTCCAGTCCTGTGGTTCTATTTCTTTAGGTGCTCTTTCTCTGTGAGACAGAATGAAGCACCCTCCCAGAGTCAGAGCCCAACCAGATGGAGCCTGGAGGTGGGTTAAAGTGCCCAGATGGGCATCAAGGAAGCAGCCCAAAAGCCTAGAGGTAGGGGTGGCACAAGAAACTCATGCCTTCTGCTTTTCTTCTCACCTGGACCTGCCACCCCCAACCCCTACCCCAATTTCTTGCCAGCAATTCCTCGACAACTGAGAGGTGTCATCTTTTGCTTCTTTCCCTTCCCCTCAGCCAAAGGTGACAAATCAGTGGTCCACAACACATTTTGTTTGGCCTGTCATACGTTTTGCAAGTTTCAATTAGCTGTTATCATTTAAAAATCAGGAGGTTTCGTTTAAGAGTCCAGCATTCTAGGTTCTTTTGAAAAATCAGAGTATCTGTTTGCGGCAGGCCCACATTCCTGCATGGTGATAACCAGTGGGAGCTGGTATCCATTGTTGCTTTCTGTGTGCTTGTGCTCTGGTTTCTGAAGTTCTAAGCCTCCCAATCACAATTACCATCTACATCAGCTGCTTGGCTTCTAAATTGTATCTCTGCAGGAGGCAGTCCAGCAGGAAGGAACAAACTCAAGGCTGATTAGAGGTTGTCCTGTACAACTCTCCCACTGCCCACAGGCCTCAGCACATGAAGGAGGCAGAGCAGGGTTAGCAGAGAGGCAGGGTGGAGAGTCCCAGTTGGGAGCCACTTTTTAGTCTCTCTCTAATCACTGTTTATTGCAGCAGCATCCAGGCTCTGCATTTGTCCTCTCCTGGTGTAGGCCTGCCTCTGGGGGTAGCTGCTACAAACACAGAGCTTGCTGCCTGTTTCTTCAGGGCACTCCACATCTCATCGGAACTGGGCCTGAGGCCTGAGGTTTTGTCCTGAGCCTGAGTAGCAATGTGGCCAGAGGCATGTGCTTCCTTACTATCTAGCTAACTCAGCCAAATGTACACCAGGGGGTGGCCGTCTTGTCACAGTCCAACATGATGTTGAGCACAGTACAGGGGGCCCCACCCACAGATAGGGCTGTGCGGGAATCCACTCGGTACTTCACAGTGTTCAGGCCTCCCTCCCGGTCCACCTTGAATTGTTCCTGGAAAGGAAAGGAGAAAACAGCTCAGATTCAGGGCTTCATGAGTGATAGCTGTCCACTGATCTCACAGAGCCTCAACATTAAAGATCCTGTGATTCCCAGTAAGACAGGGCATCAAGTTCAGAAAATGAGCTCTCTTACAGCTATACCCTGGGACTTTTCTATTGGATGATTATGCCTCTGAGGTTAGAGGCTGTGTGAGGAACAGGGATTCTGGCATACCTCCCCCCCCTTTTTTTCTTTTTTTATACTAAGGATTGAACCCAGGGTACTTTACCACTGAGTTACATCTCCAATCCTTTTTATTATTTTGAGCTAGGACATCACTAAGTTGCTGAGACTGGCCTCAAATTTATGATCCTTCTGCTACAGCCTCCTCAATCTGGGATTACAGGGGTACACTACTGAACTCAGCAGATTCCAGTATCTTCAGCTAAGCCTCCCCCAACCCCTAGCCTACATATGAATGGATAAGCAGCTCAGTGTCCAGGATGCTCATGGCAGCTACCAGGGCAGGACATGGTTGTAAGCAGAATGTCCACTGACTGACTGGGCCAAGCAGGGGAGGATAGGCCACTGGGGCGCAAGCAGAACTTGGTGAAATGCTTGGGCCTGTTGGCTCCCCACATTACCACTTATCTGTCCTGATGAGGAGACTAGTCAGCACCTGTTTTTGAGCCGCAATGCGCTTCTGGTCCCTCTTCCGCCAGGCTGGGTCATGCAGGTGGTGAAATGTTTTGTATCCAGTTGTGATTCCTGAGGGGCGGAAAAGCTAAGGAGACCAATGGAAGTAGGGGTCAGGCCACTCCTCCTGGAACCTTGACCCTCCCCACTAGTTCCTCTGGAGTCCTACTGCCTGCCAAGAGGCCACAGGCAGGGGCTTGTATTCCTATTTTGCAGGAGAGGAGACTGAGGTACAGAGGACAAAGGACTGATAAAATGACCACTGCGACTCAGGGCAGGGATCAGAACTGGGGGTAGGGAGGGCAGTGTGTGTGGAATTTCCAAACTGCAGGAACTCCCCTCAGAAAGAAAAGGAAACCTTAGGGCAGCTACAGTGGCTGAGGAGGTGGCAGGGCCCTGGAGGAAGGCCTACCTGGAGCCCAGCTCCTTTGATGCGCCGGTAGAATTCATCATCCTCGCGGCCCCAGCCCCAGAAGCGGTTGGACATCCCATTGCACTGACACAGAGACAGGGAGCATCTGTCACCTGCTGCCTCCTCCCAGGGGTATACTTCGGTTCCCTACCACTTAGAAAAACCCCAGCCCAAGCCTGAGAAGCCAGGCTCCCCTTTCCTCTTCCTCCCCTGACTGTTCTGAACGAACACCAGGGCTTCCAGGTCCCTCCACCCCTGTGGTATTGGGAGGGTGGAAAGGAGGAGTCAGTACATTCCAGTCCCTGTAACATTCTAAAAGGGCCCTGAACTTGTGTGATGAGATTAGTCTCAAAAATGTCTGACTAGCCAGATGAGACACCTCTGGGAGGTTGCTGATGGGCAGAGATGCCAGCTTGTACTGATTTCTGCAATTCCCTCCTACTCTCGTTTCTCCTGAAATGGCTCTGACCTAATCTCTTCCTCTGTGTGAGAGGGACAGTTGGGGTCTGTGGTTACACCTATTTTTTGCATTTGGCTCAGGGGCATAAAGTTGGCTTTGGCCATGGCTTAAAGACAAGACTGGGAGCCCTAGCCCCAAGCCACTCAGTTCTTCTCACCCATCTGTGCCCCCAACCACAGTGACAGACTCAGGAACAGACTAATCAAAAGCCAGTGAGGTTGTGCTTGGGGACTCCTATCTGGGCTTTTCGGGAAGGAGCAGGTCCATCTCCCACAAGCTTGGGTCCTAAAGGAACACTGGTTGCAGCTACAACAACCTCCTTGCAGAACTGCACTCTAATGCCTGGAAGGCAAAACTGAGAGAGAAAGACACAGAGTCCCAGTGACTGGCTGAGAGGTGGGCAAAATGCGCCTGAAGCCAGACCCTCACCCACCCCCACTTTTCAAACATGAGGGCCAGCACATCCCCAGTTTACTGAAGTCAGCTGGCGTGGGGGTTTCTGTTGCTACAGCAGAGCCCTCACTAGCTGACTTGCTGGTTCCTCATCCTCTCTCATGTCTCTGGCTACTGCTGAGTCCCCTGCTAGGCCTGTGCAGACCTCCATCTGCTGGGCCCAGGAGGCTGCTCTGTCCTGCCAACTGCTTCCACCCCAGGGTGGGGTGAGTTCTAAGCAAAGCAGGCTGGGCCAGGCCTCACCAGCTGGTAGTGCTGCTTGGAGAGCAGCAGGATGCCGCCCACGTAGGTCTTGTAGTGGTAGAGTGGGTGGAGCTCTGGCGAGGCCACATGGAAGGGCCCCGCCTCAGGGAAGCCATAGTCCAGCTCCTCATTGAGAGGGAGCAGGTCCACATCATGCATGGCAATGTAGTCTGTGCTGTTGCTGCTCTCCAGGAAGCCCACGTTGATGAGTGCTGCTCGGTTGAACCTGTGTAGGGAGGTTGAGGCTGGGCAAGGGACAGCAGGCTTGCACACCACCTGGTCCTGCCCCCAGTTCTGCATGAAAGCCTCTTCCCCACACATACTCCACCCCAGGGGGGCCTCTGCTACCCTCAGCCCTGCACTGACTTCACTACATGGGGCTGAACCCCCCATTTGGGGCACAAGTGTTTACTGAGCACCTGCAGTGTGCTAAAACTGCTCAAAACTGTACTGGAAGATACAGTAGTGAGAAAATAAAGCCCCCTCTTAAAAGCTGACAATCCAGTGGGAGGAAACCAAGAAGTATATACATAAGGAGGCAGACAAAGATAAGAGCTGTGGGAAGAGTCAAGCAGGGTGAGGAGGATGAAACTTGCTGGGTACAGGGGCAGGGACAGCTATTCTGTTAGGGCTGTTGGGGAGGGCCAGGGTGACCAGGCAACATTTGAGTAAAAACCTAAAGGTCTGAGAGAATGAGCCATATGAAAGCTGGGGGAACAGGACTCCAAGGAAAGGAGAAAGTAAGTTCCAAGGCCAGAGGCAAGAGCAGACACCAATGTGGGCAGAATGAAGTTGGAAAAGGGATGAAGCAGGGGTTGATGGGGATGGGGCCTACAGGTTACTCAAGGACTGGGGCATCGACATTGGTGAGACGGGAGCTGCTAGAGGTCTTGGAGCAGAGGTATGAAGGGTTGTGACTTGTTTTAGCGGGATCATTCCAGTCAGCGTATTGGGAAGAGACTGTAGGAGCAGTGCAGAGGAAGGCAGACCAGACGGGAAGCAAGAGGTGATGAAGGTGGCTTTGCTTGAAGGGAACAAAGGAGGTAGTGAGGTGCATTTTTGATGGATTGAATGCTATGTGATTAAGAAAAAGTAGGTGAGCATGACTCCAAGGCTTTTTCACTTGAGCAGTTAGAGCACTGAGTTTCCATTTCCTGAAAAGGGGAAGAGGCAGGGGAAACAGGTCTGGGATGTATAATCAGGAACTCAGTTGTGATTATGCTAAGTTCAAACTGCCTCTGAGTCAGCAATTGGAGAGGGAGCATAAGTGTCTGGATGTGGGAGTTTGAAGTTCAGGGAAAAGGTCTGGAGTCTAGGCTGGGAATGCAGATTTCAGAGTCAGCAGGAATTTAATGCTATAGGACTGAATGAGATCCTCAGGGAGAGACTGTAGCAAGGAAAGCAAGAAGATCCAAGCACTGATTCCCAAGGAATACTGCTGGTGAGGCATCACAGAAATGAGGAAGAACTGGCAAAGAAGATAGGTACAGTTTGCTGGCAGGGACAGAGGAGAATCAGAGAGCACTGTCCCAGAAGTCAAGCAGAGGCATATGAAGAAGGAAAAAATAATCCACTTGGCAGATGCTGCTGGGTCACAGGACAAAGGCTTGGGATTAATGAAGTGGAGGTCATTGGTGATTTCAAGGAGGGCAGTTTCAGTGTCACAATGGAGGTGTCTAAGTGAAACAGGTTCAAAGGAAAATGAGGAAAGAGAAGGGGAAGGAGTTCTTTTACAAAGGAGAGCAGAGAAGTAGGGTAACAGCTGTAGGGGATGTAGGATGAATCGACTCTCTTTTTCCCTCTTTTCCTTTTAGAGAGGAGCTATCTTAGTATGTGTGTATGTTGGTGTGAATGTTCCAAGAGAGAAGAAAAACTGATTATGCAGGAGAAAAAGGGGCCATCCACTGGAGTGCTGTCCTCAAGTGAGAGGAAGAAGAGGGACCCAGTATCACAGTGGGAGAGCTGGCCCCACAGAGGACTGTGACAGTCATCCCAAGTAATAGGCAGGAAGCTAGAAGATGAGTGGAGGTGGCAAGAACAGAAAAGGTCTCTTTCAATTATTCCCATTTTCTCAAACTGGAAGCAAATTCATCAGCCAAGAGTGAGGATGAGGAAGGAGTAAGAAAAGGAGTTTTGGAAGGCTGCCATGGATGGACTGCAAGAATGCAAGGCTTCCAGAAGGACACAGGGACTTCTTGTTAGGAAGATAAGCAGCATGGCCATGCATGTCACTGTTTAAGGGCTAGATATTAAGGGTGGACATGAGGGAGGATTGGATAAGAGAAAGTAGAGACAAGGAGAGTGGGCAGTGAAAAGGTAGGAGGATCTGTGAATTCATGGGGTGGGTGGGGTCCAGGAATCACTGGAGTTCGTCTTACAGTGGGAATAAGTTGAAAGGAAATGAGGTAGGGGTTGAAATGTGAGATGCATGGATGGTGGTCATGGAGGGGAGAAGGCTGGATAAGGTCAAGAATTTTAGGATAAGGATAGTCTGTGAGAAATGGAGGGATCCTCCCTTTCCATAATTCCCCTAGCCTATCACCAGCAAGTCTTGTCTGCACTTCCTCCACATCACTTCTCTATCCCCTTGTACCATATTGGCCAAGCTATCATCACCTCTGATGACTGGTATACAGCTGCTTCTCTTGTCCCAGTATAATTTATTTCATATAGCCACAGTGATCTTTCCAAAATGGAAAGTAGATCAAAGCCCACCCCAAAGAATCCTGCCACACCCAATAAGAAGGGTCCATCAGCTCCCATCTTCTACCTCTAACCCCAATGGATTAGGAATGAGTCCTGAGAAGCCTGGGCAAGGGGAAGCACCAGGTGATGGGGAACTGTGTCAGGAAGGGGATTCCTACCTGAAATGATCCACCTGGTTGAGCACATAGATGTGGTGCTGGATCTTCTTCCTGCTCAGGAAGCGGTGCATGTGGGGCACAAAGACCAGGAGCTCTTCAAAGCGTTCACGGAAGGGTACCAGCACTGCCAGGCGGTGGGGGCCCCATGACGCATCTTCTTCCCAGTGTTCAGGGGGCATCTCCGGAGGACAGGCCCGGGATGGACCCGGGGTCTCCTGCCCTTGTCCTCTGGCTGCCCGGGCCACATCACCAGAGCAGCTGAGCTGCAGCCAGAGTAGGGAGAAGAAGCCCAATAAGAGACAGGCAACGAAGAGGTGGAAGACGGAGCATTTCCTGGGGAGGCCGCTGGGGAGCAACCTAGACCTGGGACAAGAGCAGGGATGAGGTCAGAAGGGCAGGGCCAACATGGAGCCCTCTGACACACCCTTTTTCTGGCCTCCCCATGCACAGGGCACACATTCCAAGCACCTGGGAATTAGTACAGAAGCAACTTAAATGTTTTGCTCATGGTAGTACGACACATCAAAATCTGCTTAACTCTCTAGGACCAGTTTCTGCCACCCAACCTCTGGGACACTCTCCAACCACTCCTAAGTCACAAAGTTGCCCCAATTCCTCAATGCTTTTCTGCTTTGTGAGTGAATCCCAGTCAGACCATGAGCTTAAGGGCAGGGACAGGAATCCCTGCCTCTCTTATTTGCCCTTTCAGGACAGTGGTTTGATGTCATAAGCCAATGGCAAGAATCCCACTTAAGAGATGCAACCCACTGCCTTCCAAACCTGGTTCCCTGTACATTCACCCCAGGAGAAACCCTGGCTTTGTCCTGCTTCTTGAGCTAACCAGAAAGTCCCCCAAGATAGCAATGTATGCTGGCATGAATCCCATGTGAAACAACCAATATTTACTCTAGTAAGATCAGACCTGCCCCTAAAGCAATACAAGGTCCAAATGGACAGTGGCAGTTCACTGGGTGAGTCTCAAATCTTCAGTCCCAGTGTCAGCCCATGAAACAAGAGAGACAGAGAGGGAAAGAAAGATTAGAATTGGGTGCACTCTGGCTCATTTCAGAAACTGGACAAACAGCTGAATATCTTAGGCACTGGATAATGCTGGAAGACTGTCCTTTAGGTTAGGAGGTATTAAAAAAAAAGTTGAATTCACTTGATTCCTTTATTCTTCCTCTGGAAGTTCCTGAGGGTGCTAGGAAAGGAACCGAGAAATCCAAGAAAGAAGCTGCTTCTATAATTCCTGTGGCCTCCACTCCAATATCTACAATGGGATCTGCTTTATAACCTAAGAATCAGGAATTAGCTACCAGGCCTTGTAAAGTCTACCTTGTGATCCTTCTCACTTATCTGGTCCTTGTCCTTCTCAGGTCACTTCAATTTTATGGACTATCTTCCTTTATTCACAAGATAAAAGACTAAACTGCTTGGCCTAACAGGAAAAGCCCTCTCACAGTCAAAGCCTTTTGTGAATCCTTCCAACCTTCAGTTGCTCCCAACCATTCACTCTCACCCTGGGTAACTTAGGGTCTCTCCACTGCCCACATTCCTTTCTGCTCCAGACTTTCTTCACCCCACCATTCCTCCTGCCTGACATGCCCTTCTTCATTTATCTATCTAGAAGCCCCAAGCTGATTCTTCAAGGACAAATTCCAACATAGCCACCTACCATCTTACCCCCACCCTATAAGGTTCCCTCTTTTGTCTTCACATGCCATCTAGTACTTCTGTTTAAAGCACTCACCTGTAATGACTTGAGACCCTACTTGTCAAACCAGGTAGGATTCATATCTGTGGACCCAACACAGGTCAGAGAGCAAAGGGTTTGCTATTTGAGTTAAAGGAAGGGATAGAGCAGTTCTGGCATGCTTTAAGTCACACACCAGAGCTAGACCAATGCCTACCTTTCTCTAGAGGCAAAACTGCCAACCTGGAAGCCAGCAGCCCTGAAGCTAGGCCCAGGTCCCACATGCAGCTGAGAGATGGACCAGTTGGACATCCTCACAGGGCTTCTGACTTACCCACCATTGTCCTGCGGAGGTGGTTTCCTCTGGGGAGGAACAGAGCCCAGTCTTGCAAGTGGCCTGAGAAGGCTAGAATCTGTACAGATTCTCTCTTGCCCTCTGGGCTTTCTCTGGGGGCGAGGTGGAGTCTGGGAAGGCAGACTTGAGATAGTATCCCTCCTTTTGGAGAAGAAGCAGTGACCATTACCCAGGCGTATGTCATGGATTGGGCATTCCACACACTTTCCCATGCTGTTTCTTCTATCCAGCTTGCTCATTCTACCAGGATCACATTCCGGTGGTGCTCTCCTCCTGTGTTCTAAGGGCCCAAACTACTAGCAACTAAATTGAGCCCAGAATCCCATTTCCTCAGAGCAATGGAAACACAAAGTCATTGCTGATGCCACCTGGTGGCAATATCCAGAACTGCAATCCCAGATGCTTCCCAGGCCCAGGTCACCCTGGCTCTGATGAGCAATTCAGATGACACTTTGTCTCCATCAGTCATTGCCCAAGACTAAGAGATGACTTCAGACTCAATGCTCAATTGCTACACTATCCTAAATTTGCTGCATGGATCCTTATATTCCTGTGTCAAAAGCACAGACTGTATCAGGAAACTGTGGGGGAGGGGGTTAGACACAGTTATAGAAAGGAATCCAGAAATGGAAATACTCCTTCTTTCCTTTTCCTTTCTTCTCTCCTACAAACGTTGGTGGTCAATATTTGAATACTCAGCTGCTCTAACTACAGCACCTCAAAAGTGAAAGGTAACTAGAACTGTTATCCTCTCTGTGTAAGGCATAGTGACAAGGGTTTTACATATATGATCTTTAATCCTCCTACAGACTTGTAGAGTAGTTATTATGATCCCCATTTCAGAGATGGAAGACTAAATCAGGAAGATTAAGTGATCTGTTTCTGGTCACCTGTCTACTAAACAGGATTCTAGCTCAGGTCTGACTCCATAGGCCATGCCTTCTATTATATTCCTATTCATTTCAGCACCAAGTTTGGGGAAAAAAAGAAAAGAACCTTGGTCGCTAAATTCTAGAGTCTTATGGCACCTAACAAATTTAAGACAGAAAGGGAATGAAGTATCACTCACTGTGCAAAGATCCACTAGCATGTGTTCTGGGGAGGATCTCAAGCCTGAACTGTGGACATCCCCCCAAAAATGTAGGCAGTCAAATGGCTCTCTCCATTCCGCTTAATGGGAAACATCATTAGCTAAGATCTGGGACACGCTCACACCTAACACTTGGAGCAGGCCCCATGCAATTACAGCTGCACAGGAAATGAACTAATGGTTGTGTGAGAAGTGTCTAGTACAAGCCAGGCAGTGGCCAACCAGGCAGTGCATACGAAGCTTCTGTCTGGTGTGTTCTTCTGGGCAAAGTATGGGGAAGCACGAAGAAAAGAGGCTAGGACCTGAAGCTATGGGGCTGTAATAGGGGTGGCAAGACCAAAGAAACCGATTAAGGTCCTAGGAGGCCAAGAAAAGACCAGAGAGACTGAGATCCACTAAGAAGTTCACCGAGTCTGAGACACACGAACTGGGAGATGGGCCAGTGGAGAAAAACACGAAAAGACATGAGAGACTCTCAAGGAGGGAAACAAATTCACAAAGGGAGGTCAATGAAGAAGATAGAGGGAGAGTCAGCGACAGAGGGAAAGAGAGAGACCCATTGGGAGAGCCACAGACCCTCAGAGAAAGCCGCAGAGAACTAGACCTGATGGCCTCAGCCCCCTAGATTCCGCGGGGTGGCCCGGAAAGGGGTAGCACCCGGCGGGTCGCGGCCCGAGCCGGCCGCCGCCGCTCACCTGCCATCCTCCCAGGGCAGCTGCACTGCTTTCCTCCGGGAGGGGAACATCGTGTGGGGAGGCGGCTGCACATGGGGCCCGAGCTCGCAGCCCCGCGGACCCGGCCTCCGGGTCCTACGCGGCGCCTCCGCCTCCCGCCCCGCCCTCCCGCCTGCCCCGCCTCCGGGTCCGCCGGGTCCGACACTCCGGCCGCGCCGTCTGCTCTCCGGAGTCGCTGCCTCCAAGGTTCTGCTGGCAGAGAAACTGGGCGCTTCCGCCGTGGCGCTGGCAACTACCTCCAGGAATCCCCTTGACGCCGGGAGAAACGGAGGCCCCAGAAGCCAAAACCTTACCCAAGAAGTCACTGGTCTGGGACTGGATTTAGGCTCCAGACTTACAAACCGGCGCTTTGGGATAATGTGCATTTTCCTCTTCCCGAATATAGGCGGGGATTGTCGTGGCTCGTGTGCTGTCAGTCCAGGAGGTTAGGTTCTTCCTGCACACAAGGCCCAGCTCAGTCTTCCCAAGTAGTAGTTAGGAACTGGATTCTGAATAGAGACTGAATATGTTTGAAACCCCTCTCTACCAATTCAGCTGTGCTTGTGGGCAAACCATAATCTCTTTGTGACTTTCCTCATCTGGGCATATAAAGGGTTCCTATTCTCTATGGTGGTTGTAAGGGTTAAGAAGAAAATGCAATCCATTTGGTACAGCGGTGGGTATACAGTCAACGCTATGTAACTAATAGCTGTCATCCAGTAAAGGGTTACTTCGGTGCAGTTAAGAACTGAAAAAGGGAATGAGAGAATGTGGAATTAAGCTGTCTCCCCCACCCCTCCTACCTGGAAAAATAGAGCAGTAGAGTTGTGAGACTTATCTCTTCTGCTCTTCCAAACAAACTGTTTCCTAATAAATAGCTAATAAATTATTACTATATATGGTAGTTATTGCTATAAATTTTTTACTATTGGAATCTCATTCTGTTCTTGAGTAGGTATTCATTATCACCACTTAAAAGGTAAGGGAACCGAAGAACAAGTAGTCTAGTTGCATAATCTATCCCCCCCCCCAAGCACAAGTAGTCTAGTTGCATAATCTATCCCCCCCCCAACACACACACACACCCAAAACACAATCTGTGATCTTAAGCACACTGCCTCAGAGAGAACTTTACTATGGGTAGGAAATTAATCATTCCCAGCAATACCTTTCCCTCTCAAACCCCAAGGCATACAACCCAACCTTCCCCATCCTGTGACTTTCCCAGAACACTGCATCCTACATCAGAACGTTGGCAAATTCAGCCTAGATTTGACTGACCTGCAGAGACCAGTTAAGGTCAATCAATGATGGAAGCAGGAATATGGAATTATA